TTGAGTTGACTGTTTGAGCTTGGGTGCGTGGACTTGGAAACATCTGAAATTCCAGAAGCTCCCTTTGCTTCACTCCTGGAGCTCAGCTGGATTCTGCATACAGAAGACTGGTGAGCCTGGGAGGTTGGTGAGCATATCACACATGGCAGATAGGACATTCTCTTTATCACTTAGGGAACCTCTAAGATCTTAGGTCTGTGGTTAGCTCAAAGAGCTGACATTGGTGGACAGAGGTAGATGAGTTGTGCGGGTGGGATCCCTGGGGTCCAGGAGAGGAAAAGTGTGGGATTCTCTGGTGGCAGGTATCCTGAGCTATGGGTGCTGGAATTCCAATCCTGGCTTCTTCCAGCCAATCCTAGGGAGAAATAGTGAGCCCTCTGGGTCAGAACTTTGCTCAGAGGTAACAGGAGTGGGGGCTACTTCCTTTTCAGGAAACTTCTCCATCCTCAAGTTCTTCACAGTCATGGCCCAAATGGAAGCTCTGTCACTCCTCACTTCCCTTCCAACTCTGAGCAACTGCAGCACAAGGGCTAAGCAGGAGGTGAGATGCAGCATGTTCATGACCTGGAACAGCATGGAAAGGGGGAAGCAGGCTCCGTGGGCATTTCCCATACATCAGAGATTCTTAAGCCATGAGTTCTGGCCCTTAACCCAGGACCTACCTCAGACATTCCCAGAGATCTTCACACCACTGAGATCAAAATCAGACAGGAGGTAAGGTGGAGAGGGGAGTATCCTACTATGTTAGAGAAGGCTGTCATATTCCTGGACTTCTTTGCCCCTTCTCCCTCTCCCACCCTCCACAGATAGCTGGGATCAGGGAATCCCTGAGCCCCCCTCTTTGCAGGTCTTGGATCTGGCTAGCCACCCCTCCAAACTGCTTCCAAATGATCCTCTAGTCTCTGTCCCTGCCCAAGGGTTCACATACCCCATGCCCTGAAGTTAATAGCCCTGGCAACTTCAACCCTGCAGCTGGAGTGGGGTATTTTCTGGTCCTCCTCCCTGCTCTCCTCTCCCAAACAACAAACTAGAAATCTAGATGGTGATGTGAAATCTTCTGATTGGCTCTGTTGTGTAAACACACACACACATACACAGTGCCTAGGCCAGAGACAGCGAACTTCACTGTGTGTTTTGAATTTCACTGTGTGTGTGTGTGTATGTGTGTGTATTTATATAATTGAGCTATGATAGTTTTATTCTTCTTGTAGTAAAAACCATTTAAAATAAACACTAAATAATGTATTTTAATTACTCCATAGATGAGGGATAAATGGATAACATTCACCATATGAATTTAATCTCTGTTTTTAAAGATTTATTTATTTTAGAGGGGCAGGGGAGGGGCAGTGGGAAAGTGAAAGAGAAACTCAAGCTGACTCCCCGCTGAATGCAGAGCCCAATGTGGGTCTCCATCTCATGACTTGGAGATCAGACCTGAGTCAAAACCAAGAGTCGGACACTTAACTGAGCCACCAAGGCACCCCAACTTTAATCTTTTTAGAATTATAAAAGTAATACACACACTTATAAAAAAAATTAAACATCACCTAAAGGAGAAGATAAGAGATTTACAAGCACATAACAATTTGAGAGACGGAGCCTAGAGATACTTGCCTTCATGTGAGAAATTAGCTTCCAGTTCACTGAGAGGGACTTTGCAAACAAATTTCCTCCCATGCCCAACTCTGCCACGTACCTAATATTCATATACAATTACAGATTTTGTAGCATACATAATAGAGCTTTGAAGAAGGCAAGGCCCAACACAGGTAAGCAGTATAAACACAACCCTATCATAACAACTATTTACTGAGTGCCAACTATGTATGTGCTGGGGACTCAGGCTTCCAACTCAGACCCTATCTTGTGCTCTTTGAAGTGCCATTGATGGGGAACATAGCTAGAATCCTTCCTTTTATCAATGACCCCATGCCCAGGAGCATTTGTTGCTCCCAGCTTGAGGAGACAGGTAGTATTAATCAGATGTCACCTCAGTGAAGCCTCTCACACTTGGTCCTGGTGAAGCCTTTTCTCCATTGCCAGGATTGTGCACTCCGTGTTGTTACTGGTCCTGAGTCCATCTCCTTCATGACACCAAGCTACCCCAGGACCTAGGCTGCTTGCTCATTTCTGTAACTTTATGGAGTACATGAGCTGGCATGAGCTGGCATGATGCTTTTCTTGACTGACACCACCAGTGAAAAGGCTCCAGACTTGAAGGAGATAGGAGAGCTGAGGTTTATAGTCACCCCTTTGACCCAGGTGTATCATGTACATGATCCCATGGAATCCTCAACACAATGCTGTGAGGTAGCCATCATCATTCCTGTATTACAGATGAAGAAACTGAAGATCAGAAGAGGTAGACTTGTCCAAGGTCACACAGCTAGGAAAAGATAAACCTGGACATTCTGCTAGAAGCTGAGAGAGGGGTTGCTGCACATTCCTTTCCTTTACCCCTATTCTACCTGAGTACAATTCTAGATGCAGCAAACCTGACAAAAGGCAAAATCTGGGGATAGGGTTCTACATGCATGGGGCTAATGGTGGAAGGATGGTTGCACAGGGGTGGGCATTAAGCCTCCTCCAACCTCAAAAAGACTAGTCTGTGTGTCTCCCAGGAACACAGGCAGCTATGGGAAGGAAAAAGAAGTCCCTCATAGCTTGGACTCTGTTCTGGGCATAGATTATGTAGTGCAGTGCTTTAGGAAGCCTCCCTCTGGCTTCTATAAGTTTTACCAATAAAAGTGCATTTATTTAGGCAGCTCTCTCCAATGTCCAGGCAAAAGAGCCACGTTCAGTCCTCAATGTGAACTTTATGAGATGCACAAGTGAACCTTTACTTTTTCCCTATTGAGGGATCTGACAAAGGATCTGGGGAACCTACAAGGGAAGGGACTAATGAAGGGATAGGGGCAGATGACAAACCTTGGGCCTTTTGCCCCTGCCTAGAAATGTCACAATGCATGAACTCAACAGACAGGTCTCCTTGGTCCTTTGCTTTGGCTCTGGGCCCTACCAGCCCTAGCTTTACTCCATAAAGACTGTTCTCTTTCACAGGGGTCATACACCCCAGAGTTCACATAGTGGTCCCAAGTACAAATTCTTTGGTCCTTCTGCCAGAACACAGCCTTCTTTATGATCCCTCTGGAGGTTAGGTACCCCCCACCAACTGTTCCTCACAGGGGTGTCTGACATCTGGTCCCATTCCTCTGGGATGAGGCAGCTGTTGTTCTTGGAATGATTAATCCCATCATTCCCTAGGCCCGTGAAGGGATGTGGTTAGCAGCTGCCAAAGGTGTCCTACATCTGGAAGCAGCTGGGCCAGTATGGGATAGCTCCTACCATCCAAAAACCCTCCCTCCCCCTGGAGTTCTGTCTCTGGGGCCTCAAAAAACAGGGTTAAACCTTCTTTTGGGGGAAGGCTCTTTTAAGGCTCTACTGTTCTAATTCTTCCAGCCTGGGTTTCCCTGATTCAGTCCATGAATCAACAGCCCCAGAGGAGCAGAAAGGAGATGCTTAGAGAGGAGAGCTTAGAGATGCTCAGGCTCCTTGAGGACTGGACCAAATTAGGACTGAAGTTTGGGCTGAAACTGAAGCCAGGGATATTGGCAGCAGCTGCCGCCCTGGCACGTCCCTTGGTGCTGGCCGAGGTTGGAGCTGCTGGCAAATGCCACATTGCAGACAGACGTAGAGCTTCTCACCACTGTGGGCCACATGGTGGATGAGCAGGTGGGAACTCTGGCTGAAGCTCTTGCCACACTCACTGCAAGTGTAAGGCTTCTGGCTTGTGTATGTTGGTGCTGGAGCAGATCTGAACTGTCTACAAAACTCTTGCTGCAACTGGAGCATTTATAAGGCATCTTGCCTGTGTGCGAGCATTGGTGTTTAAGGAGCTTGGAGCTGTGGCAGAAGGTTTTGCCACATTCTGAGCAGGCATAGGGCTGTTCACCCAAGTGCATGCACTGGTGCTCAATGAATTGGGCGTGCTCACTAAAGCCACGGCCCCGCTAAGTCGTTCTTCATTAGAGGTTTCTTCCCTGGGCCAGACCGTGACCTACATAGGTATTTCAGAACCAGCCGCATTTCCCAGGGGGCCGACTGTCGCATATACACCAGGGAGGGCCGCTCGGGTGGAACAACTCCCCTCAGGAGGGCGGAGCTCTGGGACCCCCGGGATCCTAAGTCCGATTCCCCTGCCACTCCGCCGCCTCCAAGTTCTCCCCTGCCACAGTGAAGAAAGACCTGTTTCCTAAAAACCAGCCACTCAGTTCACAAGCTGAGGCTGACCAGGAGACATTCCGGACCCAAGGGGCTGGGGCGGGGGGCTGGGAGGGGAGGGAGGTCAGCACCGGAACCGGAAATGTCCACTAGCCCGTGCCGCTCTAGGAAGAGGCAGGGAACGGTCTCGGTAGGTTTAACCCTCTCATTCACTTAACTGAGCAAGAGCTCACCATCAGTGACCGCTGTCAGGAACTTGATACTTTGGTCCTGGCTCGCGATCCTGAGTCCGTCAGCGCGGATTTCAGTGCCCGGGCCATCACTGTGGGGCAGGGAAGCGAGCTGGAAGGAAAAGGCAGTCGCTGTCGTGAACACGCGCGGGGGGGGGGGAGGTGTGGTTGGAGTAGCCACGCCACCTGGAGCAGCACGGTACTGAGACTCCATGGTTGGATGTCTGAGTTCTCCAAAGGAACCAGCCCACTGCGAGGCCCCGGAGAGTTTCTCCTCTGACCTAAGCCAGGCGTGCTAAGCAAGGCGCAGACTACAGATCCCACCATGCACCACACGCGCCTCCTGGGTTCGCACAACGATTAGATAACCACTACTCTCTACGTGCCTTCTGCGACTGCCCAGAGTACCGGGATTGAGAACTACAACTTCCAACTTGCAAAATAACAGCGGCGGCGCTACTTAAAAAGCGTCAGAGAGGAGGTCGTGCCTGGCCACGCCCCTCTCTTCCAGTTCCGCTCCCTTGGAGGAGCGGCGAGGAGGGGGCGGAGCCTTAGGCTTGAGCCAAGATGGCGGCTGCGAAACAGACCCTCACGGACTCGCTCTCGTTCTGCCTCGCGCAGCTCACGGCGGCGGCCGGGGAGGGTCTAGGTGGGGGAAAGGACACAGCTACCAACGAGACACCCTTGGGCCGTGCGCTCTTAGCCCTCCGCACGCGCCACGTCAAGGCTGCAGGGGGAATCGAGCGCTTCCGGGCGCGCGGCGGGCTCCGCCCCCTTCTCGCGCTGCTACGGCGAGCGGCTGCAGCGGATCCCGCCCCGTCCCAGGCTGGCCCCGGCTCCGCCCCCTCGTCCGTCGAGTCCGCGACTTCTGCTGGCCCCGCCCCCTCGCCGGGCCCTGCCCCCTCCGCTGCGTCGTCGTCCACGCCCTCGCCGCCAGCGCGCCTGCGCAAGACTCTGGACTTGGCGCTCAGCATCCTAGCCAACTGCTGTACGGAAGGGGCGTGCCGGGCTGAAGTGCGCAGACTCGGAGGCATTCTCCCTTTGGGTAAGTGCTCCGCCCTCATTTCCTAGAAGAATTCCACACGCCCAGGAACTTCTGTTTCTGGGCCTGGGCGGAGTTTTGAGTTCTTTGTGTTGTAGCCTGAAAGAACATGCCTTCTGATCGCGCAACACCCATAAAGCCCTCAAGCTTTCTTTATCTACACCCGGACCTGTCCAGATCAGATAATTCAGCCATGACCTGCGTATTGGTTGTTTCCTCGAATTTGGGCCAGTGGAGACCAAAAGGTTATATGGTGACTTCTAGGTGATTCTTACTCTCCATTTATGAGGTTTATAGCAGACACTCAGTGCCTAGTGGGTGGCTCTGTACAGGGCTGCCATTTGACGAACTTGGGTCAGAAGGTGTAATGGTTCTCTGCAGTGAGAAGTGGAATAATAGCTACCTCGCAAAATTGAGGTAGGGAGAAAATGAAATACAAGTAGAGAACACAGATATTCTAAGCATGGACTGGCTACTTTGAGTTATTAAAAACTAATACAATAAGAAGAAATCCTAATGAAAGATAACAAGCGGGGCGCCTGGGTGGTTCAGTCGGTCGGCCTTCGGCTCAGGTCATGATCCCATGGTCCTGGGATGGAGCCCCGCGTCGGGTCCCTGCTCGGCAGGGGGGTGGGTCTGCTTCTCCCTGTCCTTTGGCCTGCTGCGCCCCCTGCTTGTTCTCTCTGTCTCTCTCTGTGTGTCAAATAATTAAAATCTTAAACAAAACAAAACAAGTTTTTCTGTTTACCAGCTAAGTTGGCGCCTCCTAGTGGCAATGTTGGGAGTATGGTTTATACACTCCTGCCTGTTAGGAAATTATGCCAATTTTGATGAAATCTTAATTTTTTGGATAAAACGAAACTTTCACATATCTTAAACCTGTATAAAATGCATCTGGACCATAACATGTTTGACAAGAGACCTGGCACATTAATAAGTCCTCAATAAATTACAGATTTTGTTATTAGCGTAGGACCCTTGTCATTCAGTCACTATTCTGCATTTTAAATATCTCCTGAATCCATCCCCATTTATCCTTCTCCCATCATGTGCTCAGGGACTGGTGCCCATGTGCTGGGCTGTGCTGGTAGCTTTAAGCCACTGTCCTTTCTCATCTTAACAATTGGGACAGCCTCCTTGCTGCTCCCCTGGCCTTACTCTTTTCCTCCATAATCTGTTTCCCCCCATGGCTACCAGATTGTATCACAGCACTCCTATTCTTAAAATCCTGTGTAGTTCCCAGTGCCCTCATATTCAAGTCCTGTCTGATCCCTTGGCCTGGCATTTGAGGCCCAGCACAGACATCGGATCTCATTTCTGGGCCTTTGCAAAGGCTGCTTCCAAACCTGAAATGCCCTGTAACAGCCCCATCCACCATCTTTCTAACAAATACCTATTTAACCTTTCAGACCCATTAAGTGTTAGCCTCTCTGGAGGCCTTCCCTGGCGCTCTCAGGTCACATTCTTGAGGTCATTAATGAGAGAGACAAGAAGGAGCGGGACCCTCAAGAGGCTGAATTCTCTTGCAGTGACTATTCTTCAATGTGTGAAGACAGACAGCATCCAGAACCGAACAGCCCGTGCTCTGGGGAACTTAGCCATGGAACCTGAGAGCTGTGGGGACATCCATTCTGCGGGTGAGAAGGCTGTGTGTGTGGAGTTACTGGGGCTTGTGGTGGGAGAGGGGCTTGGGTATCTCCTTGCTCACTCTTTGTCCTCCTCTTCCCTCTCCAGGTGCTGTTCCCTTGCTCGTTGACAACCTGACAGCCTGCCAGGACTCACAGTGCCTGCAGAGTGTGGTGCGCGCGCTCCGCAACCTGGCGGACTCACCCCAGCACCGCCTGGCCCTGGCACAGCAAGGAGCAGTACGCCCTCTGGCTGAGCTTCTGGCCGCTGCCCCAGACCCTGCGCTGACCTTGGCCCTAGTTCGGGCACTCTTGGAGCTGAGTCGGGGCTGCTCCCGGGCCTGTGCTGAGCAGCTAAGTCTGGGTGGGGCACTAGGACCACTGGTCAGTTTGGCCTCCCACCCCAAAAAGGCAGTACGAGAGGCAACTATCCTGATCCTTGCCAACCTATGTGCCCAAGGCCTTGTCCGGCCTGCACTGGGCAATGCTGGCGGTGTGGACGTACTACTGGGTGAGCTCCGGCGGCGCAGGGGGCCCAATGGGGCTGGCCCAGCCTCCCAGCAGCCCCTGGTGCGGGCTGTGTGCCTGCTGTGCCGGGAGGCCATCAACCGAGCCCGGCTGCGGGACGCGGGTGGTTTGGAGCTGTTGATGGGTCTGCTACGGGACCCTCGTGCCAGTGCCTGGCACCCTCGTGTCGTGGCTGCCCTTGTGGGCTTCCTCTATGATACCGGAGCCCTGGGCCGGCTACAAGCTCTGGGACTTGTACCTCTCTTGGCTGGGCAGCTGTGTGGTGATGCTGGTGATGAGGAAGAAGAGGGAAGAGAAGCTGCTTCTTGGGACTTTCCTGAGGAGCGGACCCCTGACCGGGCAGAGGCTGGAAGCTTCCGAAGCCTAAGGTGAGTGCCCACCTGATGGCTGTGGATTGAGGGCTCTGGCTCCCTTCACTACCCTCATCCCCCACTCTGTCTCAGTAGGATTCTTACTGATTCTGATTGATCCCTCGTTCTCCCTGGACAAGACCACTTTCAAGTCACCATTAAACACATGTCCTCTCTTCCTGGGTCTGCCTTTGGCCTTGACTCTACCCCAGCACCTCTGAACTTTGGGACCCAGACATGTTCACTGGGCCTTTTTTATTTTGTTGTCTGTTTGCCCCTCACTAGAACATAAATTCTAGGAGGATGGGGACTTTAGTTTTGTTCATTGTTTGTGCCCGGTACCCAATACTGGGCTTAGCACATAATAGGCATCAGTAATTGCTAAATGAGTTGGGTTTTTTTTTTCCCCCATTTCTCTTTCTCCCCTATCTCCCCTCGGGCCCACCTCCTCTTCCTGGCTTCAGTCACCTCTTTTTGCATGACAGCTCTTTTGGCCCTGCTCCTTTACCGTGGCTGTGGGTTCAGTCTCTCCTTTCTCCCTCTGCAGGTCGTGGCTGATCTCTGAGGGCTATGCCGCAGGCCCGGGAGACATCTCCCCTGACTGGTCCCCTGAGCGATGTCCCCCGCCTCCACCACCACCCGAGCCAGCTGAGCCAACCAGCCCCACCCTGGGTCCCACCTCACTGCGGACGCCTCGCACACTGCGCACACCTGGCCGCAGCCCTGCTGCCGCCGCCGAGGAGCCTTGGGGCCGTGAGGGGCCAGCGCTGCTGCTCCTGTCGCGATTCTCCCAGGCTCCTGACCCAAGTGGGGCCTTGGTGACCGGCCCGGCCCTGTGTGGCCTGCTGGCCTATGTGACGGGCTCGCCAGGCCCACCGAGCCCACGCGCACTGCGCATCCTGGCACGCCTTACCTGCAACCCTGCCTGTCTCGAGGCCTTCGTGCGCAGCTATGGTGCTGCGCTGCTCCGCGCCTGGCTCGTGTTAGGCGTTGCCCCGGATGACTGGCCCTCGCTGCGTGCCCGGCCGGCTCGGCGCCAGCACCGGGAGCTGGGTGTGTCTCCTATAAGAGGCCCCATCCCCCTCTAGTTCTGGACTGAGAACCTCACCATGCTGCTCGTGGCTCTCACTGCCCTCTCCAGCCTACCGTCCAGCTTCAGTCACCACATGGGAGGAGGAGAGGGACTCCCAGGATGCCAAGTTCTGCCCCATCCTCTGCCCAAGTCTTTGGGCCTAGATACCCCGACACCAGGCTTGGCCCCAACAACTTAGAATCACGCTTGTCTCTATTTCTTTACCCAGTCGGCTCTTGGTTCTTCATTGTCCTGACTGCCTTCCCACTGGGCACACTGACTTGGAAACCCACGGCTCAGGCCCCATGTCCTCCCAGGCACCCCCACTCCTCACCCCAACATGGCCAGGAACTGCCCTGTCTTCTGTGTTCTGACTCCACTCTCTGACCATCACACTTTGTGCTTGTCCTTGACCTCCCATTTCCTAGCATCTGGACCCTTTCCCTCTAGGGCCTGTAGTCATCCCCTCTTCCGTGCCCTGAGGTTTTTGCCTCCTTTCAGGGACCCAGAGTGGGACATCAACTCCCAACCTGACCTGCTTTGTCCATCTCTGCAGGTGAGATGTTGCTGCAGAACTTGACCGTGCAGGCTGAATCACCCTTTGGTGTGGGCGCCCTCACTCACCTGCTGCTCTCTGGAAGCCCTGAGGACCGTGTGGCCTGTGCACTGACCCTGCCCTTCATCTGTCGGTGAGGGGGGCCGTGGGTGTCTCACAGGGGTCAGGGGTGCAAGGTTGCTATTCCGCAATGTCATCCTTTTTCACCTTTCTTCCCAAAGGAAGCCCTCTCTGTGGCGCCGGCTACTTCTGGACCAGGGCGGCCTCCGTCTCCTCCTCTCAGCGCTAACTCGGCCAGCTCCACATCCACTCTTCCTCTTCTTTGCTGCCGACTCCCTTTCCTGCCTCCAAGGCCTGCTGTCTCCCACTGTGATTCCAGCCCCTCCACCTCCAATCCCCTTGGACCTAGATCCCCCATCCCCTTGCCTCTATGAACCTCTGCTGGGCCCAGCCCCCATCCCAGCCCCTGACCTGCACTTCCTACTGGACTCAGGCCTACGGCTCCCTGCCCAGCGAGCTGCCTCAGCTACTGCCTCACCTTTCTTCCGGGCTCTGCTAGCTGGCAGCTTTGCCGAAGCCCAGATGGACCTGGTGCCCCTTCGAGGCCTGTCACCCAGCGCAGCCTGGCCTATCCTGCATCACTTGCATGGCTGCCGGGGCTGTGGGGCCGCCCTGAGGCCCATTCCCCCACCAGGCCAGCCCCTGCTGGGCTCAGAGGCTGAGGAGGCACTGGAGGCTGCGGGCCGTTTCTTGCTGCCTGGGCTGGAGGAGGAGCTAGAAGAGGCTGTGGGCCATATCCACCTGGGACCCCATGGTGGCCCAGAGTCAGTGGGTGAGGTATTCCGCCTGGGCCGGCCCCGGTTGGTTGCCCATTGTGCCCGCTGGACCCTGGGGCCAGGGCAGTGCCCGCGGAAGCGGGCTTTGGCCTTAGTGGGGCTTGTGGAGGCAGCAGGAGAGGAGGCAGGGCCCCTGACCGAGGCTTTACTGGCTGTGGTGATGGGGGTTGAATTGGGGGCCAAGGGTTCCCGCTTAGACTGGTGATGTTCCCTGGGAGGGGATCCAAGGATGAGTTGGCTGTGAAGGAGGACCCCCTCAGAGCAGCATGAGAGGAGGCTGAGCAGAAGTCACCGTCAAGGATTGATGAGAGAACGGAACTATACCCCCAAGGTGATGGTCTGAAGATGCAGGAATGAGAAGCCAAGGCCACGGTTGGAGTATGGAGCCCTCAGATGGAGAACAGCCCAGGGCCCCAGGCAACCTGGCCTGGCCCAGCCTTCCAGAGTTGAGATTAAAAACTTTGGAGTTGGATACTCCTATTGTGTGGTGTCTTTGCTTACTTTCCTGTGGGACTCCCCCCGCCCCCAATCAACCAGCGTCTTGTTCAGGTTGCTGTAATCTCAATATAGGGCACCCCTGGCATGTAGGAGTTTAATAAGTAAGTTCTTGGAGTCCTGGGATAGAATAGAGTACTGGAAGGAGCCTGCTTCCTGCTCATGCAACTTCATTGCTCAAATACCCAGCTAGACATACAGACTTTGGTCAGGGATGAAGGGGCTGGGCTGAGGGAATGCAGTAAGTGTGGGGATGTAGGTCCAAGGCCTTGGCATTACTGTTTCCTGAGCGTCTATCACTCATCTTAGGCCTTCAGTCTCTGGGTCTGTTTTCATCTCTTGGGCCACTTATGTATCCTTCTGCTATTAGCCTAAGGGAAGCCCTGCTGTGTTCCTGGAGTCCCGGAGGCAGGCCCTGTCTTAGTTTTGCTCAGAGATAGCCAGAGCCCTGGGGTGCATTCAGGTTAGGGAAGGGCTTATGTTGTGCTATGGTCTCTCAAGGCAGGGTCTATCACCTGGATCCCAGATCACTAACCACTCAGGTGGCAGCCTGACTGAGGAGCGTGCCTGGGCTGGGCCTGCCTGTTAGCCTCTGGGGTGCTAAGGTTGACACTTGATATCTGTGCCTGTGTCCAGTTCTGTGTTCTCAGGCTGTGCATTAGAGCCACCCGGAGAGCTTTTTAAAAATGTTGATGTCTAGGTACTTTCTCACTGAATTGGACTGAGGGGAGGATGCCCTGGGCATCAGTATTTTTACAAAGCTCTCCAGGTCAGTTTAATTTGCCCCTGGGTTGAAGCCCACAGTACAATACTCATGTCTGGACCGAGGGCTGGATTGAGACCCACAGTCCAGCGGCAGCAACACTGTTGTGTCTGTCCATACTCATCTCTTAAGTGTTCATTTCCACTTTGATTTCTCAGGGTCTCAGTCCAGGGAAGGTCTCTTGTTCCTTTTGTGACTGGAGTCTGTGTCTTGCTTGTCTATGTTCACCAGTATCTTGGGAAAGGGCTCTTTTGGAACAGGTCTGGGTTGCCTCGGTGTTGGGAAGGGCTTTGTCTTGAAGGCTGGCTGTGGTCTGGCTGCCTGGGAATGTTTTCCCTGAGTCTGCATGGGGTTTGGGCCTGGGTTCAGTTTACCTGTGTCTTCTGAACCTGTTGTCTGATCCTTAGACCCATCACTCCTGCCCTAAACCCAAAAATTCTGTCTGGAGCAAGTCTCTCAGGAACGGCCTCAGTGGACAGGGCTCCTGTATAGGACTCAGGGTGCTAGCTTCGGGAGGTGTCTGCTTGGGGTCCTCTCAGCCTGTGTCTAAGAGTCTCATTGAGCAGAGGATCCCGAGCTTGATCTGGGAGAGCCACTTCTCTGACTTTGGCTCTGGCCGCCTGGGCTCCCGGCAGCTGAGGCCAAGGCTGGGGTGTGGCTGCCTCCGCGGCAGACAGGCGGGCTGGGCCTGGGTGGGCCGTGGCCCTCCCTCCCTTACACGCCCCCATCCCGAGTTCTGCCGTTCTTTGCACCCCCGCCCCCCCCCCAAAGCCCCATCCCAGCGGGTCCCGGCTTCCTTACATGGTCACGGCCGGGCCTCCAACTCCCGGACGTCCCCCCCGCCCCCCGCCCCCACCGGACACAGCCCCCGCCCTGCTCGCCCCGCGCGGTGCGCGCCCGCGCCCCGCCATGGAGGACCTGGGTGAGTGGGGCTCGAGTCCCCTTTTCCCCAGCTCCTCACCGCCATCTGGGCCCGCTTCCCCATGCTGGAAACCCCTCGCACTCCCTCCCCCGCGCCTTCCCATTCCCGCCTCCTGTCTTCTTGATTCTGGTCTCTGCCCGCGCCTCCTTTCGACTCCACGTCCCCGTTCCTGCCTCTCCCTTCCTGCCTTTTCCTGGACTGGCCGCTCCCTCCCTTCTTCCCTCGCTCAGCTCCTCCATCACTAGCTGCCGACCGATGGGCAGGGAGGTGCAGCGCCCGCCAGTGGGCGCCTGGGCTCAGGGGCGCTGGGAAAGGAGGGGTTAAAGGGGTCTGGGGTCCGGGCACTGGGAAAGTAGACAGGAAGGGAGAATATGACATCAAATTCTGGAGAAGAAAACAGGCCCGTCTCAGGGTTTGGGGAAGAAAATAATGAAGGGCCCCTAAATATGGTAGGGGTCGGGTCTTTGGGGGGGCACAAAGAGAATAGATGAGTGCCAAGATGCCAGGGAGAGGTTAAGGGTCCCACTATGGTACTCAGAGTTGAGTAAAGGAGCAGGGACTTCTAGGTTCTGGGAAGGAAAGAGTTTAAAGGATCTAGATCTGGGGAAGGGAGGTGGTGGGGGGTGGTGTCTTGGTGGAGGAAGGAGGACCCAGGCATCTCCTCCTTCTGGTCTGTTGGAAACGGTTGGAAGGCTGTGCTCTCCATGCGAGAGAAGGGGTTCAGGCACCCTGCGATAGGGGGTGCTGCTCAGCAGGGGTAACCGGCTCTGTGGAAAATAAGCCAATCAGAATGCAGGTCCCAGCAGACCTGCCAATGAGGAGACTAGGGTGGGACCCAGCGCCTGGAGATGCGCCAGGGCTGGGCGGGCCTGCTGAGGTGCGGGAGGGGGCAGAAATTAGTGGGCAGAACGAGCACCCAATCAGAAAGTTGGGTGCCAGGCATACAGCCAATTGAGCAATTTGGGGTGAAGCCAAATTTGGCTTGAGTAAAGAGTCAATTTTGACTGCATCAGGGAAGATGCAGAGAATAAAAGAATCAGGCAGCTTTTGTGCGTGACTCCCAAGATGAGCCATTTGGGATGTTTTGGTCATAAACATTCCTTGCTGCCCTTCTACTTCTCTGCCTTGGTCTGACCTGTGTTTCTGTCTGATTCCTGACCTCTGCTCTTAATACTGGCTTCTGTCCTTAACTACTGCCTACTTGGAACCCTTAACCTCTAACCTCTTAAGGTCCTGTCTCTGCTCTAACCTTAACCTCTCAACTTCCCATCCTGACGGCCTCTTCCCTGCAGATGCCCTGCTCTCCGACCTGGAGACCACCACCTCACACATGCCAAGGTCAGGGGTTCCAAAAGAGCGGTCCGCAGAGCCTCTCACAGCTCCCCTGCCCTATGGCCACCAGGCACAGGTGAGATCACATACTAGGGACTGGGGCAACACTAGGGCCAAGCTTGGCTAGGGCTAGGGGAATCTGGGCTTGAGTGGGGCGGAGTACAGGCCTATCATCCACACTTGTGTCCTTCCCTCTGTAGACAGGGTCTGGGGAGTCTTCGGGAGCCTCCGGGGACAAAGACCATCTGTACAGGTGAGGGGCCTGGGAACTGGGGGGGTGGGGAAGGCAACTGAGACTCAGGTAAGGAGGCTTGGATTCCCCACCCCTGAACACAGACTGCCACCATGTTTTCCAGTACGGTTTGCAAGCCTCGGTCCCCAAAGCCTGTGGCCCCTGCAGCCCCTCCATTCTCCTCTTCCAGTGGTGTCTTGGGCACAGGGCTCTGTGAGCTAGACCGGTTGCTTCAGGAACTTAATGCTACCCAGTTCAACATCACAGGTACCAGGTCACGGAGACAGGCCTCGAGGGGCTGGGGACAGGGCAGGGAAGGGCAGAGACTGAGGGGTATACTCTTCTCAGAGTAGCAGCTAAAGGGACCCAAGCCTTAAGTGGGAGGGGGTGGAGTATGGGCCCCTGTCCAGTGCCCTCCTTTCCTCTCTGCAGATGAAATAATGTCTCAGTTCCCATCAAGCAAGGAGACTGCAGGGGAACAGAAGGAGGACCAATCTGAGGACAAGAAGAGGCCCAGCCTGTGAGTTTGACATGGTTGGCAGAGCGGGGAGAGATGTGATGGCTACCTGAGTTACTGGAGGATAGCACTCATTACTCTGGGGGGCTCTGAGCTGACACAAATTGTGTTCTTCACAGCCCTCCCAGCCCATCCCCTGCTCTCCCAAAGCCTTCAGCAACCTCAGCTACCCTGGAGTTGGATAGACTGATGGCTTCGCTGTCTGACTTCCGTGTCCAAAACCACGTGAACCAGGTGGGGTGTGGGCCAGTGTAGATTTGTGGCTTCCCAACCCCTTTTAGAACCTTCCACACCTGCTGCCTTGCTGACTCAACTCTCCTGTCCCCCTTGCTGCAGCTTCCAGCCTCTGGGCCAACCCAGCCACCGGTGCCAAGCTCTGTGAATGAGGGCTCCTCATCCTCACCAGGGCCGGCTAGCAAGGGCAGCCTAGACACCATGCTGGGGCTGCTGCAGTCCGACCTCAGCCGCCGTGGTGTTCCCACCCAGACCAAGGGGCTCTGTGGCTCCTGCAATAAACCTATTGCTGGGCAAGTAAGTGGAGCGCTGTGAGTAGGGAGGTAGAGACCCATGGACCCATCCTCACTGACAGCCAGACTTCGCGCTCTTCCCTTTTAGTAAATGACTCTGGGAAGTGGGTATTACCATTGTTCATATTTTACAAATGAAGAGACTAAAGCTCTGCGTCACACAGCACGTAAGTGGCAGGATGAGAATCCCAACCCAGTTACCATTTATTGTAGTTCTACTGTATGCCGGCACTGGAGTAGCTCCTTTACAGACCTCCATCTCAAGTCTTCACAAAAGTCTTGCTGGTGCCACCTACCATCTCTCAGGCACCAACAAAGCCTATTTCTCCTCCACCAGCATCTGGTTTGCGCGCTCTGGTTCTTGGCTTATTGACTGAGTAGATATTATTGATAACAACTGTGCCCAGTGGTTGACCTAGATCCCCTTGCTGTATTTAGTGCCCTGCTACCATCCCTAAATTTCCAACCTTAGCAAAGCAGGGTGGCATTATGACTCTTGTGGGCCCTAGGCATGTTCATCTTCCTCCATTAAAAAATTTTTTTTAAAATTGTGTTTTATGACTGTGTTGGTGTAAAGAGGAATATATTAATATTACACATTAAGTCGTTTTCTTCTAGTTCATTTTTTTCTTCTGATTTTAAAAGCAATTCCAACACTTTCATGGGCTCCTAAAATTATTGAGGGC